CTCACTAATCAAGGCGGCGTAATGAAATGACACATTGCTGCCCCTCCTGCCCACCATTTCATCTCTGAGATGCTCACATGCATTAAGTGGCTTGGATTCAACGCTCGGCAAATTCATTAGGCCTATCTGTGTGCACCAGCAGACAGTGTCTCGGTTAAGGTGAGACTCGGAAGGCAATAACATTTTGTTATGCACCTGTCGATTTTAAGATTATGAGATTTTTTTTTGCTTTTTATAGTGGTTTAATTTATGTAGTTAATGTTAAACACAACATCCAAATCTATACCTTTAAGTGTTTATTTAGTCACACGTCTTGTCTATAATAATAATATTTTCTTAAAATTTGTTTTTATTTTTCTGCACTGAACAATAAATCTCCACTTAAGCAAAACTTTAATTTATCAAAAAATCATATCTGCATTCTAAGGGTCTTTACAAAAAGTTATAATATTGCATATTTTGCCATATACACACACTGGCCACTATATTAGGTACACCTTACTAGTACCGAGTTGGACCTGATTTTGCCTTCAGAACTGCCTTAATCTACATGGCAAAGATTGAACAAGATACTGTAAATATTCCTTAGAGAGGCTGCACATCCATGAATCTCCCATTCCACCACATCCCAAAGGTGCTCTATTGGATTGAGATCTGGTGACTGTGGAGGCCATTTGAGAAACCAGTCTGAGATGATTTGCACTATATGACATATTGCGTTATCCTGCCGGAAGTAGCCATCAGAAGATCATAAAGGGATGGACATGGTCAGCACCAATACTCAGGTAGGCTGTGTTGACACGATGGTGTTGACACGATGCTCAATTGATACTAATGGGTCCAAAGTGTGCCAAAAAAATATCCCCCACACCATCACACCACCACCACCAGCAGCAGCCTGAACCCTTAATACAAGGCAGGATGGATCAATTCTTTCATGCTGTTGTCGCCAAATTCTGACCCTACCATCTGTGTCACAGCAGAAATCGAGACTCATCAGACCAGGCATTGTTTTTCCAATCTTTTTTCTGACATCTTTTGGTGAGCCTGTGTGAATTGTAGCCTCAGTTTTAGCTGTCAGGAGTGGCAGCTGGTGTGGTTTTCTGCTGCTGTAATGTTCAGAGATGCTCTTCTGCAGACCTAAGTTGTATCGAGTGGTCATTTGAATTACTATTGCCTTTCTATTTGCTTGAACCAATCTGGCCATTCTCCTCTGACCTCAGGCATCAACAAGGCATTTGCGCCCACAGAGCTGCAGCTCACTAGATATTTTCTTTTTTTGGACCATTCTCTGTGAACACTAGAGATGGTTGTGTCCCAGTAGATCAGCAGTTTCTTAAATTCTCAGACTAGCCCGTCTGGCACCAACAACCACGCCACATTCAAAGTCACTTAAATCCCCTTTCTTCCCCATTCTGATGCTCGGTTTGAACTGCAGCAGATTGTCTTGACCGTGTCTACATGCCTGAATGCATCGAGTTGCTGCCTTTTGATTGGCTGTTTAGAAATTTGCTTTAACATGCGGTTGGACTGGTGTACCTAATAAAGTGGCCGGTAAGTGTATTTGCAACATTTTACACTTAAAAAGCAAAATAAAATAAAAATAAATAAAACAATTCTGTCTGCTGTTTTCTGAATTATGGAGTGAATTCAGAAATCTAAATTAACGATGCAAATGTTAGTTTTGCAGTTTTAAAGAGTTATAAAAAAAATTTTGTGTGGTATTTTGAGCTGAATCCTAACATAAACATTCTAGAGACTTATATTACATCTTGTAAAAAAGGGGCATAATAGGTCCACTTCAATTCAATTTTGTGATTAATTGAATTTGTTTGTTTATAATGAACTAACACCTTGAGATGTACCATCTCGTTTCCAAGGGGGTCCCACAGTGTATCACAATTACAATTCTTAATGTAATCAATCTACTGGAGAATTATGATGATGACGGTTAGTTGTTTTATTTACCCTATTCACCTGCAGTGCCTTTTCTTAAATGGCTCATTGGTAACTAAAGCACGCATCTCATACCTGAGATTTTTTCAGACGGTCCATGTGGACTGTGCTGATTACTGGCATCAGACACTCAGTCAGATAAACACTGCCGTTCAGAGCAGAATGTCAGAGCTGATAACAGCAGACAGCACAGGATGAGCGCCTCAGCATGCAGCCAATAGCTCAATCAATACATCTGTGAGCGCATCTTCATGTGTTTCACAAGACAAATCTCTTGTATGTGGCACTCTGCTGCATCTGATCTACAAACCATTTAAAGATTAAAGACTGGGGAACAAAAGATAATTACTGTCACCATAAATTATTGATTTTTAATTACTGACCATAAATCATATCTTATCATAAAATAAAAAGAACTCTTCATTTTAGCTAGTGTTTTGACAAGTGTGTTGAGGCGTGTAATAAAGAAATGACCAGCAAAGCAGTGCCTATATACTGTATATGTAAACCCATATTAGGCCTGTCATGCATAAATGAACATGACACTAAATCTGTCAGTAGGTGGTGACCAGTCTTTGTCTTATTGAGTGATTTTATGAATCAGTGATTCAAACTAATCGTTTAAAATAGCAGACTCATTAAGGAATTAAATTCAGGATGAAATCAAAATGTTCTCTTTTTTTTACATGTTTGTAGTAGTTTTGTAATAAACAATGTATCTATGGACTTTAATATTTAGTAAAAATTAATTTGGGCGAGGCAGTGGCGCAGTAGGTAGTGCTGTCGCCTCACAGCAAGAAGGTCGCTGGTTCGAACCTTGGCTCAGTTGGCGTTTCTGTGTGGAGTTTGCATGTTCTCCCTGCCTACGCGTGGGTTTCCCCCACAGTCCAAAGACATGCGGTACAGGTGAATTGGGTAGGCTAAATTGTCCGTAGTGTATGAGTGTGTGTGGATGATTCCCAGAAATGGGTTGCGGCTGGAAAGGCATCCGCTGTGTAAAAACTTGCTAGATAAGTTGGCGGTTCATTCCGCTGTGGCAACCCCGGATTAATAAAGGGACGAAGCTGACAAGAAAATGAATGAATGAATAAAAATTAATTGGCCCTTTTTACTCAAATATCATGATCTTCCCTGCCCCTTAAAATGACTTTTCTTCACTTTGGCACCTATCAGGGCATGTCTTGTTTCCTCTCTGCTTCCATCTATTCATCATTCTTCTTTCATTTTATTAGCAACACTCATCTTCCAACAATCCAGTTGGTTCCCAAAGTACGAAATCATTACCGCCTTGCATTTTTTCTCATTTCAGAACCGTTTCAAGTAGTTGCATATCACGATAATGGCGTACAACCACTCAACTATCAGTTAAATAGGAGTCAGTTATTAATCAGAATATTAATCATTATTCATGACTAATGATGTAAACACGCACGTGCACACATAGGGCTCAACCTGAGCAGTGCACATGCCCTTTTTAGTCTTGGATAGTAAGTGCCCTTCAAAAATGATCTGAAGTGCCCCAGCAACCCCCTACCCCTATGGAGACAGATTAGACTCAATAATAATTCACGCAAAAGACACGATGTACACATGCATAGCCAAATTTACGTGCATAAAATCAAATTCACGTACTACAGCTCTCATCTGATTGGCTGAAAGGTACGAGTTACCCTGCCTCTGGCAGGAAAGTCTCAAAAATACACACACACTTATCCAGGGGGAGTCGTACGTGAAAGAGGATTTGCACATTCTCATTCAGAATGAACTCGCAAGTTTTAAACATTCAAAACTTTTTGTACACTCTTATACATTTGCAAATAGTGTTTTGCATTTGTGAAACGTATTTTATGAAAATTTACTTTTATTTTGTGCACGTGAAAATTTTTTGTGAATATAAATAAATATTTTACTCACGTGAATTTGGTTTTATGCACGTGAATTTGGCTACGCATGGGTACATCGTGTCTTTTGCGTGAATTTCTTCAGACTAATCTGATTGCATACACCCCGCACTTCAGTTCAGTTCATCGCCCCCCTCTTCAAAAATTTTATCCTGCAAATGCCCCTTCGATAGTCTCTGCACGGGGCTGGATGTAAACATGACTACAAAACCATATTACAAAATATATATTTCAAAGATTCTGACTGTAGTAAAAACATGTCATCAAATGTGGCATTTCATGTTCAGCATTTACAACATAGAGCCAAATAAGCAACTCAAACAGCTGCCATTACAGCAGAACGATAATCTCAATGTCATTATTGACAGATTTCATCGATTTTGTAATATTGACATTATTTTGCTTCGCTTGTGTAGCTTCAACTCAAACATGAACATCTCAGCTGACAAATTGTGCATGAAAATCACCTTGATTAATTAACCAGCGCGTTATTTTATAATAACATCAAACAGCAGAGTTTAAAGGTTCTCTCAGTTAGGAAAACCCACAAGTTCATTCAAGTGCATTCTTACATAATGCTTTTATTCTGATTTGGTTTGAGCGATTTCATCTTGACAAATTGGAAATGTAGCATTTACAGCCTTGGCATAAAAAAACGGAAATTAATTCGGAAAAAGAAAAGAAAAGTGCTTTATATCATTGGGATCAAATGCAGCAGGCTGTGTGTCAGACAGATGAGTGTGTGATCTCGAACAGATCCATCTTCATCCACACTAACAGCTCCCAGAGTGCACAACAAGAACAGCTTTATTACGACCCACAGAAAATTATACACATATTACAGCCACATCAGGAGCCAGAGAACATACTGAGAGTGATTAAGATAAGACTCTGACGGCCTCCAGGAATGAATGCAGAATATCAATTTTAGAGCTTATATTTGTCATGTATATACCTGCCCTTCTCTCATATGCATGAGACAGCGCCCACATAAATACACAAGGGTTATGCAGGTTCAAATATGCTTAGGTAACGTCGCTTTCAGCTGGAGGATGGGGAGACGTAGACAACAATTTCTCATGTCTGCTTTGCAATTCAGATGATGTCTGTTTTGATGCAAGACAAAGTAGGAAGGCAACTCACCTTCTTGGTTTTGTCCATGGCTTTCAGTATGGATACATTTAGGTCTTCCAAGGCAGCGAGCACATTTTCATATTCTCCAAGATGTTGAGAGAAGTATTCTGAGAGAAAAGTAGACCATTGATAAGATTATAATACATACACGATTTCATGAAAATATCAGCAAACTACATAAGAGCATTGGATATCATTTCACAACAAATTAGCATTAGATATTTATAAAATATTTGATTACAATAATGCATAATGTACACATGTAGAACTAATTTACACACAAAAAAAAAATCTAATAAGATCAACAATGTCTTTTACAGTGTTTTACTAAGTAGCTTTAAAAATGTCTACTATTACTTTCCCTTGAATACATATTCAGTGCTGTATATTTGTACTTTTACTCCAATAATTTCCTTCAAACTTCAGTCACTACTTTATTTGTTCCTCTCTATGAGGATTAGAAAAATCTGTCATGTGAGGTAAATCGCATCATATTAAACTACCTTAAGACATGGGTGATTTATAATTGAGGAAAACTGTTTGGAAGCATTAAAAGTGTCCAAGAAAATGTCCAAAATCTTTACACACATTGACCCAGAGTAAGTTTAGATGCATGTCACGGATGAAAAGATGACGGATGTTTACTTTATGTTGCCCAAAATGGCCTTAAATACCCAGCAGGCACAAGAAATCAATATGATGTCAAATTGACGTTGTACCCCAATGTTGTGGGGACGTTGCATTTTGTTTGGAAGTTATGCCGACGTCAATGTTCAACATCCAACCTAAAATCAATGTCTAATGATGTTGCAGCTTGACGCTGTGTGATTGTTACGTTTACACACATTCACAAATTCCATGTAAATGTATCAGCTTTTCACAGCGTAATACTCACTACTCTGAGTACTTTTGAAAGGTCTACTTTTTACTCATACTTTAAGTAATATTTACAACAGATACTTTTACTCTACTCACACTACATTTTTAGGAAAATAATGGTACTTTTACTTAAGTATGATTTTTCAGTACTCTTTACAGCACTGGTCTTTTATGACTGGAGATTTATTAAAAGTAAACTTTGAAAAAGTAAGTGCTTTCTAACAGCTTTTAACAGCTATCTGTACTTTTTGATTGAAATATTGTATTGTATTATACATTGATCTTTTTTCCAACAACTTTTATCCTTGAAACGTTTGAAAAGGTGACTTTTAATAAAATGTTTAATAGTTTAAATTGATATATTGTCTGAGTTAGGGTTGTAAACTACGGTTCAAATCCTTCTAATAAACTACCAGTACGTTTTGTTATTTTATATAATTTTTTATACATTATATTGTTTTAAATGTTTCCCAGAGATGGGTTGCGGCTGGAAGGGCATCCGCTGCGTAAAAACGTGCTGCATAAGTTGGCGGTTCATTCCGCTGTGGTGATCCCGGATTAATAAAGGGATTAAGCCGCCAAGAAAATAAATAAATGAATGATTGTTTCAAACTAGTAAAATATCAATAAATGTCAATTTGTTAAACTTTTAGTTGAATTTGAATTTGAAACTTTTTATTTAAGATTTCTCTCTCTCTCTCTCTCTCTCTCTCTCTCTCTCTCTATATATATATATATATATATATATATATATATATATATATATATATATATATTAATTTTTTTTTTCTAGAACAACCCATTTCCAACAATTTAACTCCTTAATGAGTATGGAATACATACAAAAATAATGATATTATGAAAAATTAAAAATAAAATAAGAAAATTAATTCAACATAAGTACATAAAAAGTACTGCCATCATAATTACATTTCAGGGGATACATTTGTACATCAAGTTGCATTGTATTACATTGTAGTTACCAGATTACATTGATGATAGGTTGAGTAAGTTTTAAATATACATATCCAAATATGTTGTAATACTTTTCCACCTCTTCAGAAAAATATCAGTCTTTATTTGTTGACATGCAGACATTTTTTCCATTACATAGACCTCTTAAGAGAGTTGTATTTTCAACATCAAAAGTCGACAGAGCAGAGATCAAGGTCACATATTGCAATTAACACCCTTTTTACATTTTTTGTGGTTTTGTGAATCACAAAATATAGAAAAGATCAATTTTGTACGTGAAGTGAGAGTGTAAAAGTACCCCAACTCTCATATTGTTTGCTCAAGTAACTTGAATATTTGTGGGTGACTTCATGAGATTTCGTGTGATCTGCCATCTTTGATATTGTGTCTAGGGTTTCTCCAAAAGGTTTAGAGAATCCTCTGACATGCATATTAATGAAACATGAGTATTTTCTCATCTTTACCGTCAACGCATAGCTTGCCAGTAATAAAAAAAAGAGTCAATAATAAGAGTTAACTCTTACCACACAGCTCATCCGTGTCCACATTGCTGCAAAACAAACCATAACCACATGTTAATTTCATTTAACACCAATGTTATAACAGTGTCCCTATTGTGACATGTTAAGGGTTCCTCATTTTGTTTTGAAGGTCTCCTATACTCAAATGATTTGTTTGAAAACTCAAATGATTTGATTTGATTTGTTTGAAAACTCATTTTCGAAATGGTGGGAATGTAAAATGTACACAAGAGTAGGCTATACGAAAGGAGACTTAAAAAATAAATATTTAAACAATTTGCTAAAGCATTAATTTGAAAGTCCTCCTTTCTGAGATCTTTCTCTGCTCTGATTGGTCAGATTAACCAAGTCTGTTGTGACTGGTCAATTCATAAGCTGTCAAAAACTAAACAGCCATTTGAATTTCAGCTCTAGAAGTTTCTGTACACAATATAAAACAGTAACAATGATAGTGATTTTAATAAATAAATTCATGCTCAAGTCTGACATAAACACACATTGGATGAGCTAGATCAGGGGTGTCAAACTCAGTTCCTGGAGGGCCGCTGCCATGCACAGTCTAGTTCCAACCCTGCTTCAACACACTTACCTATATAGGTTTCAAAGAAGTCTGAATGACTCAAATAGTTTGATCAGGTGTGTTTAATTAAGCTTGGAACTAAACTGCGCAGAGCTGCGACCCTCCAGGAACTGAGTTTGACACCTGTGAGCTACTGTAGATGATCAACCAGAACTTCCATTGCAAGCATGACATGAGCAGATTTTAATCTCTGCTGAATATTAAAGAGTTAAACCTAAGTAATTCTTCTACAAGTGTATGTCTGTCAGGATTAGAAATTAATTTGTGGCTTGTAAATTAAATGATTAGGCATTTGAAAGTGGCTCAAAGTATATACAAATTTGCATATACTTATGTCTTATGCATACGTATGTGTCTATGTCACTGTTAAGTACAAATAATTCAACTCATGTGTGCATTTAATAGACCCTTTCTGCTTAGTGCATAAGAACATAGTGTACAGTGAATCATTTAAGACACAACTGTTGTTTACGGGCACCCATTAAAGACCCCAGGATGTAATTATGCAAATTAATTATGGATCAATTACATTTAAATCATTTACAGAAGTGAAAGTGTACTAGTTCATAACTAATTTTAGGTTTTGAAACAATGCTTTTTTATAAGCCAATCATTTTATTAGTTGTGCACTTTCATCTTTGAAACTCTTAGGCCTTTTGAATTCCCCAAAAGCTGCAATATTGCCTTATTGAAAGTTAATATTTAAATAAATAAATAAATAACAGGAGCACTTTAAAAGACATGTAAGTTGCATCTTAGTGTGATCTAATGTTATCTGTTGATGTAGAGTTATACAGACAGCATCTTGCTCAAAGGCAGGTCCTTCGGGACTGTGATGTTCGCCTAATGAGAAAGGGGCATCTTTCGACAGCTAGACTCTAGCCCGACATAACAGCCACCAGCCAAACACTGAGTCTTCTGACATCTCCATGTCTCAACCCTGCTCTTATTAGAGGCTGAGCGCTGTGAGCAAAACTCATCATCAGACAGGATGACAATGGGGTAGTCAGAATATACTATATGTAACATGTCACAATGCATAGTATTATGCTTATAGTCCATCATTTATCTGAAACAATGCACACATTTTTAATATAAGTATTATCATATACACTACCTGACAAAAGTCCTGTTGCCTATGCAAGTTTTAGGAACAACAATAACTTGACTTCTAGTTGATCATTTGGTTTCAGAAGTGGCTTATATGAAAGGCAAATGCCTCTAGATTGCGCTTATTTTACCAAAATAAAATATCATCATGCCTGGATTTTGGATTATTTTATTAGGACAGTAAGGTCTTACTTTGCTTAGACAAAAGTCTTGTCACTTACCAGAAATAATGTACAGTATAAAATATAAAGTCAGTGTAAAAACAATGAATATTGTGTATGACTCCCATGAGCTTGGAGGACTGGAGACATGCTCGATGATGTTAATGTCTGGTGACTTGGCTGGCCAATCCTGGAGCACCTTGACCTTCTTTGCTTTCAGGAACTTTGATGTGGAGGCTGAAGTATGAGAAGGAGCGCTATCCTGCTGAAGAATTTGCCCTCTCCTGTGGTTTGAAATTAAATGGGCAGCACAAATGTCCTAATACCTTGGGCTGTTGATGTTTCCATCCAATCAGCAGATCTCTCTCACGAATCGAACCCCAAACCATGATTTTTTCTTCACTAAACTTGACTGATTTCTGTGAGAATCTTGGGTCCATGCAGGTTCCAATAGGTCTTCTGTAGTATTGAATGGGATGCAGTTCAACAGATGATTCATCTGCCACATTTCAAAATGATCAACTAGAAGTCATTACTATTTGTTGCTTTTACAACTGGGATCAATGACAAGACTTTTGTCAGGTTGTGTATAGTATCTTTCTGTGTACTTGTGTGGTTAAATACATTGGCACCCTTTGCAATTATCCAGCTGTGATCCTCTTCACTAAATCAAGATGTTATTTACAACCTTACTCTTCCATGCAGATTTGTAATTTTTTCCTGTTCACTAACTTATTAATAATTGCCCTGATGTTGGGAATAGAAATTATTAACGTGTTTGCTATTATATAGTCCAGGGCTGCTCAAACTCGGTCCTGAATGGTCAGTGTCCTGCATAGTTTTGCTTCAGCTTCCTTCAACACACCTGCCTGGAAGTTTTTACTTACGTAGAAAGTGCTTGATTAGCTGTTTAGTTGGCGTTGGAACTAAAAAATGCAGGGCACCGGCCTTCCAGCACAGAGTTTGGGCACTACTGATATAGTCAGTATCTGTTCTGTGTACATCAGATCTATATTCTTTGGTTTTACTCAATGTGATAAATGATTAGAGGAATTTTGCCTTTGTGTTTCTTCTAAACCAAGTCATGCCTGAACATTTTTGTCTTTTTACACTGTTAACAAGTTCCTGTAGAATCTACAGTAACTTATTGGCAACAGTTTGCCAGTAACTTACTGTAAATCAATTACAGCAAAAATACTGTATTTACACATACAGCACCATTTATCTTGCTCAGGCTCGTATTAAGAATTTAGAGGCCCCTGGGCACAATGTCTTGTAGCCCCCCTACCTGGCCGCACCCCTATAATTGAATTAAAACAAAAGATTGGACTTCCGGGTGACGCCATGTGAGTGCAAGACGCATGTGAAAACAGCTCCACAACTTTTAAGATATTTGCAAGCTAAACTATCTAATACTTTATTGCAACACAGCTGTGTTTGATATATTCGACTAAGATGCCAAACAGGAATAAAAAAAATACAGAGCAGACGACCGAAACCCCGAGGGACATACAAGTTCATCGCAGCGATGAGATTAGCACCGAGGCTAACAACGCAGTTCTAGAAGGGATTGCTAAGCTACAATCAAACTTCGTACTATTCAAGTCAGAAATAGTCGAGGCTATCGACAAAAAAATCGATCAGTTCTCGATCTCTATCAGAGCAGAATTAACGGCTATAAAGAAAGAAGCGGATGTCTCAATCTCCACCATGAAAGATACTATGAGCGAGCAAGCTAAAACAATTGCTGAACTTGAACGCAGCGCAACTTTTTCTTCTGACGCGGTTTCCCAATTACAAAAAGAGGTCGAAAGGTTAACAAGCAGCTTGACGCAGCTTACGGAAAAATGTACGGATCTGGAAAGTCGCAGTAGAAGGCAAAATTTGCGAATCCTTAATGTTAAAGAAGGAGAAGAGGATGGGCACAAAACAACGGACTTTATCGCGCACCTGTTGAAGAACGCGCTCTCTCTGGAAACTCTGCCTTTGATTGACCGTGCTCACAGATCCCTGAGGAATCGCTCCGATAACACTCCATATCCCCGGGCATTTGTCGTCAAGATGCATTATTGTCACGAATGGCAAGACATCATCCGAAAAGCAGCACAGCTAAAAATCATCACTTTCAGGGGAGAAAAGCTTCTAATATTTCCTGACCTCCCACCAGCCATACTGAAACAGCGTGCCCATTTCAACAAAGCGAAAAATTTACTGCGAGATCAACCAGGCGTCCGTTTCGGATTTCTGTACCCAGCGAAACTACGGGTCACACACAATGGAGAAGAAAAACACTTTACCGACCCTGCCAAAGCGATTGAATACGCAGAACGGCATTTTGGTGAGGGTAACGTACCGTAACATCCTTGGAGACTGTGCAAACAGTGCAAGGCTGATCGATAACGCTGTACTTTTCTACCTTTAACATACTTTATCTACGCAATCTTTTTTCACAAGGTTTATACGCTTCGCTTTATGGACTTTTAAAAACCGAGCTGTTTGCGTGTGCAGACGAACATTTATTATAACCAAAGGAACTGTTCACTTAAGCTCCTGTTAGTCAGCTAAGGCCAGTTGGGCGTGTCTTATACCAAGTTTGTTTTACTAAATTCTGTTTGATGTATACTCAAACCTGGATTTTCAGATAATGGTTTACATATTCATATGTAGACTCTGTAAATTGTGTTAGTAGACCAAGGGGGAAAATTGTATGTGTGTGTGTATATGTGTGTATGTGTGTGTATATATACATACGGACATGTAGTTGTAATATAATCACTTGTACCCAATAATTGTAGAAGGAAATTTTTTGTTATAATTTCTTTTAAATTTTTTTTATTTATTTTTTGCATAAGTAAAATGTGGAGGATCTTTTTTATATATTTGCAAACATTCTGTAATTGTACATATTCTTCCAATAAAAAAAATAAAATAAAAAAAAGATTGATATTTTTTAAGAAAATTAATCTATAATGTATTGCCCGAATTTTATAAAATAAATGATACACAATACCTATACTTCTAGTCTACAAAGATCTAACTTATTTTTAAAGCATTTAAAGCCCACTTTGAAAAAATATATACTAATACAACTTGTGAAAACTAATGGATTTTAATATACTTGTTCAAGTTCACTGAAGCGGTACTAAACATTTATATTTAAGGGTATTTTTTATGTATA